TTTGTTTGCGCTTTTAATACTACTAAGCAGCATCTGGCTTTCTAGTTATAATTTTCTTTCTACACACGTGGGTTCCATTCTCCTTGGGACGAAAGGGGGTTCTTTTATCAACTATTTTTCTTGTCAATTTTATTTTTTTGAAGAAGAATTTTTTTCTTATAAATATTCTTTTTGTCAATTTTATTTTTTTAAGGTCAATTTTTTTTCTTATAAAAAAAATGAAAGGTTTTTTTATCAATTTCGTTTTTTGTCAAATTTTTTTATTATCAAAAAAATGAAAGGTGTTTTTATCAATTTTGCTTTTTGTCAAATTTTTTGCTTATCAATAAAATAAAAATTTTCTTATAAAAAAAAATGACAGGTTCTTATCAATTATTTTTCTTGTCAAATTTCTTTTTTTTGTCAAAAAAAATAAAAGGCTTTTGTCAAAAAAATAAAAAGTGATAGAAAGTTATTGTCAAAAAAAAAATTTCTTCTAAAAAAAAATAATACAACAAGTATTTTTTGTCAAAAAAAAAGGTTCTTGCTAAAAATAAATAAATATATAATACGACAAACATTTCTTGTAAAAAACCTAAAAGGTTTTTGTCAAAAAAACTAAAATGTTCTTATAAAAAAATCATTCTTTATTGTGGTCCATGTATGATTATATACTTTATCCATGATAGTTCTATGATTTTTATTTTGTGTGATGTAATTTAATGGTTAAAATAAGTTCATACAGAGAAAAAATATCTCAATATTCATATATTGAGGAAAAAAATGAAAATTAATAATATAGTAACCCGATTTCTTATTGGATTCCTAAAAAACAAAATTTATAATAAATTTTAATAATTTTTTTTCTTTTTTTTACAGCTTAATCTGCTCGATTGGGCCGATTTCCGATCCGGATCGCCGATCCACCGATCCAGATGGATTTTTGGTGTGCCCGATCTGGGCACCGATTCGTTTTTTAAACCACTAGTGTAAAGTGTAGTTTGGCAGTAGGGCTCCAGCACTGTATAAAGTGCGGTCCGGCAGTAGAGCTCCTGCACTATGTAAAGTGCGGTCCCGCAGTTGCAAAGGCCTGTCCGACAGTAGATCTTACTGGATTCCAGGGCTCCGACACTATGTAAAGCGCAATCCGACAATACTCAGTTTCGGTCTGGTAGTTGTCCGTCCTAGGGCGGTCCAGCACTTATGCGCTCCAACACTTATGCGCTCTGGCAATGTGATGATATGTTCCAACAATGTGCTACTGGGTCCAAAAGCAAACGTCAAATCTGGCCAAAATGATTTTTGTGCATGGCAGCCATTTTCGTTTAAAAAAATGAATTTTTTCCCTTTGAAGGTATTTGTATAGGAAGTTTATTTTGGAAAAAAAAATGAGAGAAAAAGCTAGATTTGAGGGTAAGTTGCGTGTGGTCTTAGAGGTTTTTTTGTAATTGTTCCTAGTTATTTGGTTCCGACTCGTGAGAGTAATGTAGACAAGTGAAAAGTTATGATTCTTGGAATCTTGGATGAGATGGGTGGACCCTACCTCTTGAACCATGCCATCATTTTTTAATCCAGATGAATCGAGGCCGCTCAAATTGTTAGATGTGTGTAGGATGCTCCTGCAGGAGCATGCTATGCACTTATTCCATGCAAAAGATTTTCCTTGTATGAATTTTCGAAACATCTTTTTGATATGAAATTTTGAGATCCACTTTAAAATATAAATTTTCATAGTGAAAAAATGGGGAGTTTTTTTATGGGATTAGTTGCTAGATACCAGAGGTTACATTTTTAAATTTAAAATCCTAAAACGGATTTTACCTGAGGAAGTAAATATACAACATGGTTTCTTGAGAGAAATAATCTTTTGACTATTTGAAAACATACACACTCTCTCATGGTTGGTTCACTATTGGGTAAGGTTTGCATAAGGCGCCCACCTTATTATGTTGAATTAAGGTGTACCTAGAAAATATGCTTAGAGATGTATTTTCCGTATCGGAAATCTTATGATTACCTAGAAAATCTACTTTCATCCCTAGTTATAAAATTTTAAGTTTTAAAAGTAATATAGATCTAACAGATATGTAAACACTTAAAAAATAGACTATCTAGATTACATGTTACGAGATTTATTTTAGGATTTGAAATTCAAGTTTTTCTTTATATCCATACATCTCGAGGTTGAGATGACCAATTAGAGAGTTCTCCAACATTAGAACACTCTCTTCTAGAGGTTTTTTCATGCGCACCTTATTTCAATAGTATCCTTTTTTGTTTTATGTTTTCTTGCTGTTGTGGCCTTAATCCTACTCATCTTGGTAAATACGTATTAATTGGATCCATTCTTTTTAATGAACAAGTATGAATAGGAAACTGTGGAATGTGTTTGTATGCTAGTCTATCATTTTCTTTCTCCTATTTCTCAAAGGATATTGTCAATATAGAACACATAAAATGTGGATCATAGTAGCACTCCCACATCCTAGTCACCACGTTGCCGTTTTCATTCCTACTGACACTACTTCACTAACTCCTTCAAAAAGACTTACTCCTAAACTATTTAAAAAATTGGGTAGGGCCCATTTTCCCCATTAAATTACCAAAAAAACAAAATCTGGATCATACCTAGGTACTTTTTTTTGTGTTTCCATCACTGAAGTACCTAACTGTATGAGTCCCCATTACTACTATGAAACTGTTTCGAGTACTTCTAAAAGGAAATTGTGCCGACTCACAAAAAATGTGCATTAATATTGATTAGAAAAGGATAACAAACATTTATTAAATTCGTGCCAATTGTTAGTGAAATCCTATACTGACTTTAGTAAAAACCAATGTTTCATAACTCGGATTGGTCTGAAATGGGGATCGAGAAAATATTAAAAATAAATAAAATAAAATAAAAATTAAAATAGGTTTATGTTGCGTGGGGGTTCGAAGGAGACCTCAAAATACACTAAAATAAGTGTTTTTTTTTTAAAAAAAAAAGTAGATGGGATTTTAGGGGGGGCTGGGCAGAGACTCATACCATCCTGGAACTGGTTT